GTCACATTCATCTTAGCTCTTCTTTTCTAATCTCTTATATTCTTTCTTTTTCACCTTCTTATTATTATACAAATGTTCTCCCCTTTCAATTTTGTTTTTGATCGTACCTGAACAGAATGGACTGTCACAGCTTACGTCGAGCAGTACTTGAGACTGATGTGGTGGTGGGGGGGAGGAGGTACCTGCAAGACACTCTGATGCGAAAATGAGATACGGAATGGTGCAAGCAAGTAGAGAGTGAGAAAATGTTTAATACTTGACCCTCTAAAGAGAAAAGGTACTTATAGCCCACATCGTTGGGCTGGTCAAACAGGCCCAAAATGGAAACTGTCAAGTCCTACGTTAGTAGTAGGAACCAGCACGTGGTCCCCCACCTGGATGACTTCCTCCGCACGATTAGGAGGATATGGATACTGTCTTTTCGGGGTCACGAAGACTCCGTGATATTCAGAGACGTTGATAGTCAGCCCTGCGAGGAGGATGCTCGTGGGGGTGCTTCTGCTCGTCGTGGATGCTCCCCGTCAGACACGAGGTCATGTGGGAGGATCAGTCTTGGTCGAGGAGAGGATTAGAGGGTGTCCTCGGGGTCCTCCTGACCGACGATGATCTTTCTAAGACTAATTGGGTTTATCCCCGTGTGGCGATGCTACCTCCTCGCAGAGAGTGGGAGTTGCTGCCCGACACAGTCGAGGGCAGAACTGGCCAGCATACCTTGACCGGCATAATTGGGTTGGGCCTCATATGGAGTTGGGCCAAGGGCAAGCCTAGTCCAGAACAGTTTTTATCGCACATCTTCTATAATCTCTTTTCTTTTATGTTCTTTTTTTTTCATCTTCACTAATCTCTCATCTCTTCTATTTTTTAGTTTCATTATAATATATGTGATATTGTTTTATGCTATTATTTTATGTTTATTATTTTACTTTTGTCTAATATAGTTTATACATATTAAATGGGAAGTTGTTGTCCAAATATGATAAATTTTGTTGTTATTTGGTAGTGTATGAATGACTAAATACATAGTTATGTTGACATCTATATGTGTATGTATGACTCAATAAAATATTTGTAAAAAACCGAATCAATGGAACCGAATCAAACGGTATTGATTTGGTTTGTTTGGATTCGATTTTTTTCTAAAAGTTAATCAAACCAAACCAAACGCACGTCTTTTTCTCCTGCGATTAAGATAACTTTTAACGTCAAAACCGCACCGCGAACACCTATACCCTTGGCAATTCAGGAAATATTTCTTAATCATTAATAAAAGCTTAAATTCCATGTAATCACATGTCACTTAAGTGATGTATCAACTTAAATTCTATTTCAGGAAATATTTCAATTTAATACACAAACTCGTAGTCATTTAATACATACACTACTTTTGCATCTTTTGAACATTCTCTTGCGTTAATACTTTTGAATTTGGACATCAAATTGAAAATTTTCACTTCAAGTTCTTCCGTCATTTTAAATTTTAAATTTAGTTCAAATGGATCAAGACACTTGATTTGTCAAAAAGCTTATGGGTTCTATCATACTATTATGTTTTACATGCATCAAATGGTCAGAGTCATCAATAATTTTTATTTCAGAAAAAAGTTTTACTACAACTGAGAATACAATGTTAGAGAAAATGAGAAATTCATCAAAGACAAACCTACAACAACCCCAAACACATTACATGTACATCTAGAGATGAAGTAAACTACGACAAATAAAAATTGCCACCACGCTTGCAAAACCAGTCCAAGGAATTAAATAGATATTATAGGGGATTGTTTCTTACTATTATATGAAATTTAGCAGAAGAAATATCACATACCGCTTTTGCGATAATCTGAGTGCTTTGTTGAATTTCAGTTGTGACCTCAAATAGCACCCAACCCCATTTGTCACAGTTGCCATCATGGTCTGTTGCGTAAGGAATGTCACTTTTTTGAAACATTGAAACTTCCATCCAAGTTTTCTCTCCATCAAGAGACAACTTCACTCTCTCAATGCATCTGCCACCGCCTGATGTTGCATATCCACTAATACTCACCTGAAGTGCAAGAACCGTGTTAGAGTCATGATTTAAGTTCATTTTTAATCAACTCAACATTAACGCATAAACTAACCGTTCCCGATATTATTGTGGTCGTGTCTTTTATAACACCCAAAAAATAATTAGATTATTTATTTAATTATTTAATTGATGTATAATGAGTAACTGTGATGTATTTGTGAGAATATGTGATGTTTTGATGAATATGATGTATGGTGTGATGCTATGTGTGGTGTAGTGGAAATTAAGTGATATTTGGTGTTTTAAATAAATTTAGATAATTAGAATAATCACTTAGAATTATTTTAATTAGTGAAATAGAGACAATATATTGTGTAGAAATAATAAGGGCAAGGTGTTAATTAGTGAAGTGATAAGTAAGGGTAATATAAGAAGATCATAGAAAAGGTCCAAGGGTTAAACAAGGAAAATTGAGTGTCAGTGTTTCATTATGTGCAATCGTGAAAGTTGGGAAGAAGGGGTGAACGAGAGCTAGGACACGAGAACTCAGAGGGATTCTGTAGAACGCGAAAGAGAATTGATTGCCATAGGGTTTAAACGTATGTAGGTTGTTTAGGGCTTTATGATGAATTTGATAACATAATGAATTTAAGGTAAGAGGGTTATCCTTATTATTATGATTGATATAGGGTTTAGAGGTATGCAGGTTATTTGGGGCTTTATGATGAATTTGATAACATGATGATTGTGATGAAAGAGAGGATGAAATTTGTGATAGATTGATGTTGTAATGCTATGAAATGATGTATATGATGCCTGCTATGATATATTATTGTGATATTGTGAAACCATGATGAATTGTGTGAATTTTGGACTGAATGGGTAATGAAATCGATAAGAATTTGGACTGATTCTGTGCAGAAAATGCAACAGCAGAGTTGTTGTTTTTGCGCCCTCGTCGGGCGAGCTCCCCAAGTCGTCGGGTGAAGCATCTTCGCCCAGACTTCGCCAGGCGAGAGTTAGGCGTGAGAGAAGGATGGTTTTGGCTGGTTATGGAAAATATATGGAGGATGTGTCTCGCTCCAGCTTCGCTCGGAGAAGCAGAGGCGAGCGTGAGCTCGCTGGGCGAACAAAGAAGTCGTCGGGCGAAAGAGGTGATGGAAAAATAGTGCTCCTGAAATTTTGTATGGGGGAAGGATTTTCGCCCCAGCCTCGTCGGGCAAGCCTTATGCGAGCAAACTGCTTCGTCGGGCGAGCCTCGGGCGAGGGGGCAACATGCAAAAATTTTAAAGTATCGTAACTTGAGTTTTAGAATTCTGTTTGACGCGTCGTTCGAAGCTTTAGGAAGCTAACACGATGAACTATAATCGTGGGTGACATGATAAACCATATGATGTAATTTTCCAGTACCTATGATTGATGAATTGGATGATTCAGTGATTAATTTATTTATGATGTATGTGTAAATGATGAATTGATGTTGTTATGATGATGCTATATTGTATTATGAAGTGATTTATGTTATTATGGTGAATGAAGTTGAGATTACATGTTTGATGTGCCTACATTCCGTGTGAAGATAATTATATGATGATGATGCGTTTTGACTAGAAATGGTCATGTTTTATTTTGTTGTTGTGCATCATGTATTCATGGCATATGTTAGGGCGTTGGCCCAGTGATGTTAGGAAGTTGGTCCAGTGATTATTGTTAGGACGTTATTCTAGTGACGGTCTCAATCCCATGGTATGGATTGAATGCATTTTTGTGAAGTGTTCTGGTTCCAAGCGGGAATCGATCCTATGGCGAGGATCTTTGGAGAAACATGACTTGATCATCAGTAAAGTTTTTGTACCAAATGCATTAGTCAATGATGTTGCATTGCATTATATGTGACATTGTATAATGATTAATTAAGTGATGTTGATGACATTGTGATTTTAATGGTGTTTGATAATAGATGTTGGTGTGATGATATAATGATATAATTGATGTGTATTGATGATATGAAAGTATGAGTATAATATATGAAGTATGGTGATATGTATAATCTATGATGATTTGTTATTGTACTACTATATCTATTCCATATATCTTTTATAATAATTCGTGGTTACTCACTCTTTCTGCTTGGAAGTGTTGCCTCGATACGTGGGTAACTTGTAGGTGGTCAGGAATAGTTCGTGAAGCTTAGAGGATAGCTTCGAAGTGTGTTATTTATTTTCTGTTGAATAAAGTGGGTCTTGCTCTGATATGTAACATCGGGGTTGGGATTGTTTGATTGAAATAATTATGTTCTTTTAGTTATCTTGAGATTTGAACTACCTTTCATGGTATTTGAGTTATTTGAATTATGAATTATGAATGATAAAGTATGAAGAAGCTTCTATGAAGTATTTTAATAAAAGTATTTTGGAACTATGAATTCCGCTGTGAGTAGTTGAAGTGTCATTGTTGTTATTAATGAAGTATTTGTCATAATTGATTTTGAAAATCCGTGTTACAAAGCAAGATGTTTTACATGATGTTTATATGAAGATGTGACACCCTTGTTAGTGGTTCTATTTGAATTATATTCATAAATTATATGCGATTATATGAGGGTTTAGAAGGGTGTTACATCTTCTATGCAAAGGAAATAATGTAAAACACCAACCTGCAATTAACAAATTAAGAACTATGAGACACAATTTTTTGTCACTTCGATTTAACACCCATGTATTTGGCAAAATCATCACCCAAAACTTTACCAAACAACATATCTTGATATCAATGGATCAAAGCAACAAATCTTGATACATCCAAGTGAAAACATGAACCTAAAAAATTATATCATGAACCTGAGGTCATGAACATGAAAATGTCAGAAAATAAAAAACAGAAAAAGTAAAATGAAATGAATGAAAGAGAGCACATATTCATGAACATTGAACAAACTATTCATCATACAAAATGATTTGAAGTAAGATTCAGTACACGATTCATGACAGCTTTACTCGTATTCACACGCAGAACCCCACTGCTTCAAACACAACCATTTTAAAGCTTAAATCTCATATACCAGATTGAAATGGAAACATCATAGACACCATAAGAAATAACAAATACAATAACCATTTATGTTTCTTTCCAAACTTACCCCTTTTTCATACTGTTGGTTCTTCTGATTTATGTTTATTCCTACAAGATTTTATAAGATAAACAAATTCAGAAAACATACAACCATTGTTTGATGTTAAAACAAACAAATTAAGGGAAATTGTTTACTTGCCAGGTTTATTCCATTCAATAGTTTCTTCAACAACATTAGAATCTGAAAAATAGATCAAACCAAAAAGAGATTTAAGATTTTAGAAATATCTCTGAAAACAATATATTTAAAACAACTTAAAGGTATAACAACTTATTCATACAAGTGATTAAAATATAACATACAAAACCATTTAAAAAACCCAAAGTAAATTCTTCTTTTTTCTTCAAACCAAAAATACCGAAATGTTTTTTTAATGGAAGAATCGGCTTATTTAAGGAAGAACCATCTTATTCTATAAAGGGAAAAGACACAACAAAAATGAAAATAACTCATTCATATTATGGTAAATACCACAGGCAAGCTGAAGTACCAAATGAAGATTAAAACCATACATTGGTCAAGCAACATACGTATTCAAAGCGAAAGAGAACTCATGCATCACAGAAGAAAATAAAGAAAAAATGGAAACACATGAGAGAAAAGAAACCATTAAAACCATAAAATGCTTAAGGTTGTAGGGGAAATGAAATGATATGAGAGCTCGGACCTTGGTTATGTCGCAGAGGAGAGAAGATAGACAAGAGTGAAATGCAACTGCTATTGTATTTGTTGTTGTCTTGAAAACAAAAGTTTCTTTTACCTAGATAAATGAAGGGTTCTTATACTTTGAGTGAAATTTTGAATTATCTCTACAAACTTGTGCCACCTGGAAGCATATGAATATATGGTTGGTAAAAAAATGCATTTAGTCAATTACATATATGGGCATTAGTTAGTGTAAAGTTATTTGTTAAGGAAGGGAATATTAGGTAGTTCATTAGCATGTTCCATGCTTAGGTTGATAGTTGATTGTGATCCAAGCAAGTATGTAGTGCATTTACGGTTGATTGAGGGCATTGGCCTTGAACACGCAAAAATGAAACAAAAATTCAAGGTTTTTAAATAGTAAAATTGACATATTTAAAATGAAAATTGTAAAGTAAAATTCTCATTAATTTTCAACTGATACAAGAGTTATTTATATAACAACATGTAACTTCTATCACAAGGTACAATGTATCACCTACATCCAATCAGTACTTAGTTAGTAAATAACTACTTTAACTACCTCTATAACTAATTGTCAACTGAATTAAAGTCGAATAAGAAGTTATAACTAACTCAACTCCATAACCTTCACTTCATTTGAATTAAAGTCTGAACATTGAGTATTTGAATCTTGGTGAAACTTGATTGCAGGGTCAGATGGAGTGGAAACTAGGTTGGATCCAATAAAGCTTAAATCTTCCAATAGGTTAGAAATGAAATTAGACAAAGGATAGATAATACCTTTGGAAGCTTAGCTTTGAGTAGTTGAAAAGTTGCATATATAGTCTTACAAATAAGAGGGATGAAGTTTCAACCTTGAAGGAGTTATGGTTGGTGGGTTAGGTTGACTAATTAAATGAGGTTCAGTATTATTATTTGAATCCGTATATGAGAATTCAACCGTAAAAAAATGTAAACTTTGTTGTTTAATCATCATCCTTACTGCTTCTTCTTTATTATGTAGTAGGTTTAGGTCATGGATAGGAAGTTTTAGTGTATTAAGCACCATGGTGGTGAGTTTTCAAAGGGGTTTGCTAAGTTTACAAATTTGATTATAAGGGGTTCGAAGAAACTTAGGATGTTGATCCTAATTATTGAAGTTACTTTAAAATTTTGGGCATGTTAAAAGAATTAGGTTATCTAGTTGTAGAAAGTCTTTGGTGTTAGGATGACATGAAGGTTAATGACATTGTTATATTGGAAAATGACAAGGGAACTAGGAGGATGAACATAATCGCAATTATGACCGAAACATTTCATTTATATGTTATTCATCCTTTTTCACAACCTGACAATACTAAGGAACCTATACTTTCACTAGAATACAATAACAATGAGTTATATAAGAATAATGTAGAGGTCCTCATAATGTTTAAAAATGTTAATGATGAAGGAGTTAATTTGGATAAAGAGTCAACTATAGTAGAAGAGGAGACAACTCTGGTATGAGAGGAGACATATATGGTAGAAGAGGGGAGAACCGTGGTAGAAAAGGGGACCACTATGTTGGATGATGACACAACTGTGGTGGATGAGGGGACTGTAACGCCCGTAATTTAATTAATTATTTAGTTAAATTAATTTGGGATTATTTGTGAAGTTGTGTTATGATGATATTTGATGTGTTGTTGTTATTGGATTTATTTATTTTATTAAGTTGTGGAATAATATTAGAATAATAATATTATTTAATGTGGGCTTGTTTTAGAGGATAGAAGTAGAAATAGGGGGTGTAGTAGTTTTAAGCCCATTAAGGCATAATAAGAATTATAGGGTTATTATATTAGTTTTTAGAATTAATAATAAGAAAAGAAGAAGCAGTAAGAGAGAAGGAAATAAGGGTTGGAAGAAGAGAAAGATAACGTGAAAGTTGCAGAAAAGAAGGAAAAGAGGCAGAACGAAATCCAATTGGAAAAGTTATAGAGAAACCTTCAATCCAAGGTAAGGGTGGGGTTCCGACTCTATAATAGGGTTTATGATGATTGGTATATGGGATTAGATGTGAAAATGTTGTCTTGTTCATGATTTGAATGTATATGTTGTTGTATGATGAAGATCGATGATTTAAGGCTGAATAACGATGCCCTAATGCTGTATAAATGATGTAGAATTATAGGATAATTATAATTGATGATTACCTATGATTAGAGGATGCTTTTAGGGCCTAAAGCATAGAAATCGCAATGAAAACGCAGTAAAATCGCAGAAAATATTCATGACATAACAGTATGTGTCGACCCCAAAAGTCAGGCGTCGATGCATGAAGGCTTTTAGAATCAGGATGAGTCGATACGAAGAAGCCATGCATCTATACATGCAGGCTTTTAGACTCAGGATGAGTCGATACATAGGACCATGTATCGATACATGCAGTGTTGCAGACTTAGTATGAGTCGATACGAAGGGAATACATGTCGATACATGTAGCGTGTTAAGCCCAGTACGCGTCGACTCAAGACATTACGCGTCTATTCATGTAGTCTGGTTTTTGACAGATTCGTTTCCAGAGGTTGTAACTTGAGTTTCTGGACTCAGTTTGAGGTGCCGTTTGAAGCGTTGAATAGCTAACGTGATGAACTTCATTCTTGAGGATTAAAATGAAGAATAGGAAGGATAATCCTAGTAACCCAATTTAGGACTAGGGTTAGCTTCCCGCGTTAATCGCTATGATAATTTTGTGAAGAATGATGAGGATGAGATGATTATGGATTATTGTTTGGTTCATAACAGTAAGATTAATGATGATAATGATGTAGTATTACAGAATGATAATATGTAGAGGTTGTTGGCTAGAGGTAATCCTTAGATGATTAACTAATTATAGGCAATATCATGTTGTAGGCCTATGGCCAACGTTGAAGGATTGTCGATCTACCGTTGTATTATTGTTGTGGCTGAGTTGTTGTGAATTATGATGATAAATGATGTTTGATGAATTATGATGATAAGTGATGTTTGATGAATTATGTTGATAAATGATGTTGATAAATAACGTTGGTGAATGATGTTGAGATGCCTCTAATGATTGGCAGCTATTAAGATGTAGGCTTCTGGCCAACGATGATGTTGTCTTGAGATGTTGTTAATTATGGTGTTGTCATTACATTCATGATTGTGTAGAATACATTGCATTTCAAGATGGAGCTTATGCTCGTTAAGATGGCTTGTATTGGCTGTTGTACCCCAATTTTTGACCTAAGATCCCATTTGCATTTTTTGCATTTTTTATACAAAGGTCAAGGTCACTAAATACAGTTGGTTTTAACCTCTCACCTTCTAGCATTGATTATGCAGAAATTGTCAAGTGTTTTGAACATTTTTTGCCTATGTATCACTAACTTCTAATCAAGCACGAAATGTGTGTTTCTTTGATTTCATGTGCTGACAGGTCTCCTTCTAATGCAGCTTGAGCATGTCCTTCATTTTGAACTTAAAGCCTCCTTCGAATGCAAGTTTAGGCCTATTTCAATTTGGACAAGTAGCTGCCTGCAAGCCTGCTTCGATTTGGACAAATTTGCTGCCTGCAAGCCTACTTCGAATCTGGACAAGTTCACTGCCTGCAAACATGCTTCGATTGGATAACATTACTTCTTTCGATCACAGGCTTTCGTTTAACCAATATGTTTGTTTCGATCCATATGCTTCGATTCAGCAACATTGCTTCCTTCGAACACAAGCTTCGATGGGGCAATACAGTCCCTTCAGTCACAAGCTTCGAGCTGGACATGTGATTTCCTTCAAGGCAGCCTCCTTCGATTCAAAAGTCGGACCACTGTACTGCTATGCAACAAACACTACTGAGCCTGCTACAACAGTCCTGCACCAACTGTCACTACGCTCCAAAACACTGTTGAGCCTGCTACAACAGTCCTGTACTTGCCCAAAAAGGAGTGCACAAGAGCTGCGTAGAAGAAAGGATCGAAACAGCATTCCCAAACTGTTCAAATCATTTTGTTTTCCCCCCAAAACTTCAGCCACCTCGCCTATAAATACAAGGCTTCACACACATTTCAGAAGAGGATTTTTTAGAGGACTTTGGGCCAGACGAATCTCTCCCCAATTTTCTCCAACCCAGAAAAATTCTCAAAGTTCATAAACACTTGAAAAAGATAAAAAAACAGAATCTCACACACTTCAGTCTCCTTCGATTCTGAAGAGCATCAACACACATTTTCAAAAACACCAAATTTTCTCAAACACAAAAATCTCTCAAGTCCCTTCAATACTTGTGAGAACAAACCCAGAATCCCCAAATACTTACTCCCTTCGATTCTGAAGAACAACTACACTTCAGTCTCCTTCGAATCAAAGAAGCACACTTGCTTTTTCCCTTCCTTCGAATCCAGGATTTCCAGCGCAACTGTTGGCCCCCTCTTTCGAATCCAGCATCCAGGCAACCACCTTACTGCCTAGCACACGTTTCAGCCTGAAGCAAGGTAAGTCACTCCTACCTTGGACTTTTCATTTCATGCCATAACATGTAAATAATACTTTTTTTTCTTTTCAAACATGTACATACTGCTGTTCCTTTGATTCCACCCTTTTTAACATATTTCTTTTAGAACTGAGCTCTTTCGTTTTTACTATTAAACTGTTACTAGCATGGCCTCAGACCATGTTGTTATTTAATGTTTGAAATGAAAGAAACAGGAGACAGGAGTATGAAACGAAGCCCCAGTCTTCCTCACTGACTCCAGGCCCAGTCGAAGGAAACAAAAAGGAAGATTACATCTTTCACAGATTCCAGGCCTAGTCGAAAGGCACAACATGTTGTTCCACTGGTCTCAATCGAAAGGCACAATACACTGACTTCCAGGCCCCAGTCGAAAGATACAACCAGACTGCTGCCAAAGCCCAGATCGAAGGACAGGACTTCGCCTCTGCCAAAGTCCCAATCGAAAGACATGACTTCACTGGTGCCAGCCCTAGTCGAAGGATACCACTCATTGCTGCCTTTGCCCAATCGAAGGATACAACTTGTTGCTGCCTTTGCCCAATCGAAGGACAGGACTTCGCCCCTGCCAAAGCCTAATCGAAAGATGTGACTTTGCTGCTGCCAGCCCCAATCGAAGGAGGCCAACAGAATTCAAATCGAAGGCTGCTCCTGCCAGAATCGAAAGATACTCATTTTCTTTACTTTCATCTTTATTTTTTTTTGCCTTTTGACATGTTTGTAATAGCGTAGTTTTTTGTCTTTCTACATTTTTTCACTTTGTACAAATGTTAGTAATTAGGCATGTATGCAAGATAAAAATCAAAAAGATAAACAAACCAAAAATCCAAAAAAAACATTCTTTAATCATTACTTGAACATACTTTAAAACATGCAAAAACATTCAACAAATCAAAACTCCCCCCAAGGGCACGTTATCCCTGTTCTACCGCGATATCGGCCGTGCCTATTGCTAGAACGCGTGCGTTAATGTCGCCCACTAAAAAACACAAAACAAATCAACCTTTTTCTAGAGGAACTACGGTGTTTTGATTCCTTCATTGGATACGTAGGCAAAGGGTCGCGAAACCCTCACGAACACAATAATAAAAACTCTTTTTTTTCCCTTAAACAAACATAGTTGTAGATAC